TTTCATCATACTTTTTGTCCTTGTCATCCTCCTCAAGTCCAGACAAGCTACTTGAACTCCCAGAGTCAGACATGTAGTCCACCTGTAAGGGAAAACAAACATGCTGATGTGTTGGAAAATGAGCAGGCAGTTAAGAGTGGCTGGTTCTGCACCACTTTTGGTGAGGAACTGATGTATGACAAGCTAGATGTTGCCAGTGAACACGTGGACAAACAAATAGATCATTATGATCTCGGAAGAATGGCACTGCGGGGAGTTTAACACTCAAGGTAGGGGCGAGATGGCGAACGCTCAACACTCAAGGGAGTGGGGTGGGGGGGGGGGGGGGGGGGGGGGGTGGGGGGAGATGGTGTACAATCAGAAAGTTACTGGTAACATCAGATTTAGACTCTTTGTTTGCTGCTGAAGAAGGGAATGGGGCAGCTATTGAAGAGTCCCAGGTGCTATGATGTTGATTCTTAATTCAACAAGCAAAGCAAAATCCAGATCATGTGCTGACAGTGTAATGATAATATCATAGAAAAGCACTGTGCCCAAATGTATAATTAACGTTGAAAGCACTATCTAGGGACCAAAGTACACCAGTTCAAATCTCTAGACACATGGATAACGTCACATGGAAGATGTAAAATAAAGGACAGGATAGACAAAGAATGCTTTTTACAAATGGTAGCATGTCTTATGTAATAACTCCTCGTCAGGTATGGTGAAATGAAAAAATAGAACAAGGTTGAGAACTGCTGGGCTAGAAAAAAAAGGTAACTAATTAGGGGTGGAGGACAGACTTTTGATTAATCAACACAGAACAGGCATCGTCAGTCATGTTGTGTTTGTGGAGCACCTGTGGATCTGTCCGGACTGCTGTGTTGATAATCCTCCCCAATCACTAATTAGAAGTGTTTCCTTCAGAGACTCAGGTCCACTTAGCCTAAAGGGTCTCAGAAAAGAGACTCAGGTCCACTCAGCCTAAAGGGTATCAGAAAAGAGACCCAGGTCCACTCAGCCTAAAGGGTATCAGAAACAGAAACCCAGGTCCACTCAGCCTAAAGGATATTAGAAACAGAAACCCAGGTCCACTCAGCCTAAAGGATATTAGAAACAGAAACCCAGGTCCACTCAGCCTAAAGGATATTAGAAACAGAAACCCAGGTCCACTCAGCCTAAAGGGTATCAGAAACCCAGGTCCACTCAGCCTAAAGGGTATCAGAAACCCAGGTCCACTCAGCCTAAAGGGTATCAGAAACCCAGGTCCACTCAGCCTAAAGGGTATCAGAAACCCAGGTCCACTCAGCCTAAAGGGCATCAGAAACCCAGGTCCACTCAGCCTAAAGGGTATTAGAAACAGAGACCCAGGTCCACTTAGCCTAAAGGGTATTAGAAACAGAGACCCAGGTCCACTCAGCCTAAAGGGTATCAGAAACAGAGAACTCAGGTCCACTTAGCCTAAAGGGTATCAGAAATGAGACCCGGATATTGACCACATAATTTATCGAGTACCCTGTGGTTTAACAATATGAAGCCAGAAGCATGTAGCCAGGGTGTATGTGCTTAATCTATTTGTCTTATGCTCTCAAGACTGAGTCTGCTTCAAGAACTACATCGGTCACTTCATGAGTAGAATATTTACAGAGATCACTAGGGATCATTGTCAGAGCTACAGATCCTGTGCTTTCTGGAACGACTGTCATCCAAGCACTTAACACATTAAATTGGTTTTGCGATCAGGAGCTTGAGTATTTAGATAATTCTGCATATAATTTTAGAATGGTTTCCTTTCAATACTTGCCACCATTACGGAACAGATGCTTCTCTAAAAAATACTCTTTCCTCAGCTTTAACAATCCATGTGTAGGTTCCAGGGCCCCATTTGGGGGGGGGGGGGGGGGGGGGGGGGGGGGGGGGGAGGGGGGAAGACGGGGTGGGAGTTTTAACAAAATGTCAAAGGAGTCTACTAATGTGGGCATCCTTCGAAGTTGAACTGCATCTGCTTGAGAGGCTAAGAGCTAAGAGTCAGCATGCAAATAAGGCAGAACTGTAGAATAGATGTGTAAGCAGAACTCAGATTTTGGAACAAGACTTCTTCTTCTTCTGCGTTCGATATCAGTCATGCTAAACATTGAGTCCCGTCTGTGTCACAAATAGGATTGTGCGTTTAATGTCGCCACCGGTCCCCCATAGCTTCTCTTGCAAAGTGGCTCCTTTGGGCAGCTTGGGGTGGGCCCCCTCGAGGCTGAGGGCCCGGCGCCATCCCTACCCGTCCACGTCCCATAGGAATGACACCATAACGTGATAATTTTGTTTGCATGACCATATCGCTAGTGCGTAGATGCCTGATTTTTAGTCCCGTGCCAAGTAGGCTGACATCTTCCGACTTCGACGGTTGAGGTTTTTTTTCAGGATTCCCCTCCATAGGTCTGATTGCCTTCCAGGGCTATGAGTTCTGCCTACCCACATTTTCTGTCGGGCTTTGTTGCCCTAGCCTTTGTTCTTACAGGAACTTCCCACAAGGCAGTGGTGGTTTGGCATTCGGTGTGTCCTTCACATAGATGAATTGCCTTTCAGGGCTTTTGAGCTTCATCTGCCCAGGGAACAAGACTAATGTCTGGAGGTGGGTGAAGAACCAGAACTTTCTCCCGGAGTTTATACAGTACAGATTTTTTAGGAACCTTTGACTGTGAAGGGACCTATGGAACACACTATATAAATTACAATAAGTTCTTCAGTGACACAAGTAAAAAGTATGGTGTCCATGGCAGAGATTCACAAATCAGAGGGGTCCATCTATCTTGTCTAACTGAGAACCACTGGTAAAAGATATCTAAGTTCATCTTGAGGAATGCCAGACGTATTTATTTGGGGAACAGCTCCAAGTATATGCTTCTGCTTTTTCTTCTACTTAGCGTTCATGGGCTATAAACTCTGTTGGAAAGTGCTGGTTGTTCATCCACTCCTGGACTTTGGACTTAATCCAGCACTTTAGTTTTGTGTGCACATTCATTTTACAGATCTGGCTTATTTATATGCAGACTGTTGGTTCCTCTCAGACAAGGGCACTCTGGCTTTGAAAGTAACAGCCTAATCAGTCATCTCCAATGAAATGCTGGGGGGGGGGGGGGCAGTGAGTCTTATAAAATGTTGGTTGCATATTCATTATAAACCACCCAGCATTTGTTGGCTGTGAAATTTAAGAAATTTAATGTTGAGTAATTTGCCATTGCTTTCTGGATGGTTGATTTCTATATTGTTTGGGAAATCAATGCAAAGCTGTCAGCTGTCAAATCATATGCAGCTGTCTTTGAAAACAGGTATTTTCAGGAACCAAATGTAATGATGGGTGACATTAAAAAAAAAATACAGGTTAGTACACTGCACATTTAAAAACATATTTTCCACCTAGTATTTAAAAAAAAATACTAAGCCTTATAATAAATAAAAACCACAATTTTAATATCATTCCGGTTTCTTTAAAGACAAATACAATTTCTTGTGTATCATCATTTTCTCCGGGTTGATCTTCTTCAGCAGCTGAGCTATGACGTGAGTGATCTTCTCGTTGCTCATGTTCAATTTCTTGGACTTGAACTTCTGAAGCAAATCCTTGGTGGTCATCGGCTTGCGCATCAGATACCTCCTGATGGCATCTTCTGTAATACCTTCACTGCAGATTAAAGAATATAAGTTCTGATCACAAAGTGAAGGCCGATATATTTATAATAGTCAAAGAAATCAATAATTTAGAAAATCTTATTCTTTCTTAGCATTCACCTGCAGTAAACTCAGGCTTGCTTGCTTGCTGGTTGTACCCAACCAGGACATCATACAAGCAATAAACACCCGGTGACGCAAAGTGCCACCATGCGGATGAGGATCACCCGTGGAGAGGTCCCAGAAACCCCTTTCAGCTGTTAAGGCCAGAAACTCAGGGGAAAGTTCTGGTTGTTTGTTCACTTCCAGATTTTGGTCTTGATCCAGAACTTGAGTGTTGCATGAAAATTCATTTTACAGATCCTGCTTTTTTTGTAAGCAGACTGTTAATTCATTGCCTCTCAGGCAGACATACTCTGACTTTGAAGAAAACGCTCCTGGTTAGTCACCTCCTAGGACCTGCTTGTGAGGGGACGCTGTGGGTGGGTCTATTCTTTGCTCCTCAAAATGAAGCCCCAGATCCCACAGGGGGGCGAGTTGAGAAAATAAAATATGTTCGATCAATGAAGCTTAAGTTAGTTATGTGAAGAGAACAGTTACCATGATATCCAGCCAACAGCAAGGTTGTCATCAACTGCCATCTAAAGATCGAGTTTCTTCTTCTGAGCTCACCATTAAAAGGGCAGTTGACACACTGTGTTGCAGTTTACAGCGAGGCTTCAATATCTATTAGGAAATTCCTAATAAGTTGTCTTTTAGGACATGTTTATTAGTGGGGCGGTGGGTCCGTTCTTTTTCTCCCAAAAAGGGAACTCACCTAGGGCCACAGTCAGTTGATTTAAGTTCAGCAACAAAACAAAAATCAGAGCAATGTTTCCTCGTTGTAAATTTTAATAAAGAAGACACAAACAATAGATTGCATAATTTACTGCCTGGCATATTTCACTGTATCTTGTCAGGTGCATACTACACTAATAATTACATAAATTAAGCAAATAAGTGAATCCTTTATAGCTGAAGTACAAATTCCACAATAATCAAATGTGACTGCCTGTTTTACCAGGGCAGCAGCAGTGTCAGAATCATGTCTTTCTGTTTACAAAGTTCAGGGTGGAGGTAACGAATTGCTGCAGCTTCAAGGAAACAAAAATCGACAGTCATTCTTATGTGGCAACTGCAAAGTGATCAAAAATCTGCCTCTCCCCCCCCCCTCCCCCCACATGCTGAGAACAATCCAGATCTTCTGCTCACTTCCCACCAAAACAGTCTCTCAAGGTTGAATGCATTTTCTGTTGTGCTTTTACCTTGATCACAGAGAGCTTTCCCCACGTCTGCATTATCATAAAGTAACTCGCTGTCCATGGCAATAGCAGCAGCCAATCTATCGGCCTGCTTATTATCCCAAAACCCAGAATGCCCTGGACAGAAACTCATGTTATGTTCATGATCTGAGTCTTATCAAGTCACCCTAGGATATCCGCTTATATTTTACGAAGGGGCTAGATTTTTCGTGCGCTGTGCAGATTCTCCTTGTGAGATCTATGAAAGGAGACTGGTAATAATTACAGATAACTGTCTGAGATGGAAGTGGTTATAAAAAAAACATCACAGAAGAAAACAAGACATACCTGTTTTCACCCTTGTGTTTCTTGGTAACATCACTCTTGCCTTCTGGGGTTTTCTCTGCTTTCCTCTTTTGTGCTAAGTCAGACAGTATTCAAATAATTTCACATATTACACTGAGTCAAGAATACAATAACAGCAAAAGGCAACAGCAGACCACACTGACTACTAGGGTTTCTTTAATTACTATATCTGTGTATAATGCACAATCCAAAAGTTTAAAGAAATTTAGAAAAACTTGAATTTAATTCTTGCAATCATTTCAATAAATAAGTCACTCATTCCGGCCATTCTGCACTTTTCCATATTGTGCACATTTTCCTTTGTTCATTTTGCGGAAAACATCCTTCTGAGAATGCCAAAGCCTTTTTCCACGTTGATGGAAATCTAAAATAACGTGCTGCTGACTCACTGCCTTGTTGTCCAGCATATTTTATTACTTGTAGTTTCAAGTGTGGGTGTGCCTCTTACAATTTTTTTTTTCCATACAGCGGGCAACAATGAAAAACAGCTGAAGGTATACTTTTGTTGTAAAAGACCTAATTGTAAGGCATATTTTGAGACCCTAAAGCTGCATCTTATACACAGACAGATACTGCAGTTGCATATCCTTTGTAGCAGCGGTCTTCAGCTTTTTTTTTCAGGGTTAATATTCACATCAGAAGGAAGTATGGATAGAGAAGTCAGCACACCATGTGCTAAAGCAAATCAGGTACTGGGCAACTACTACAACTTTTTACATATAGAAGAATAATTTGTTTACCAAGGCAGATCTAATAAGAACTAGTTTTTTGGCTAATCAATAGAAAATCATAACAACAGAGATGAGATGTTGTGGAAGAGCTGCTAATATAAATAGAAGAGATTAAAAAAAAAACTAAGGAATTAGAAGTCTAGTCCTGAAACCAATCATGTGTATGCACAAACACAAGAAATAACAAACCTTTGTCTTTGACTCTGTCTGGAGTTGGAGTACGATTTTCAGGCTTTTGACTTGACTCAGAAACTGGTTCATCCTTTTTGTCTTTTTTCTCCCTTTTTTCTTTCTGCTTTAATAAATTAGACATTAGATATTTATAAAAGTTGTTGCAATTTAGGCTAAAATAACAGTATAAAAGCAAAACAGTGAACAAGAAACTAATAATAAGTATGAGGAGTGGCGAGTGAGAGAAAATGAAAAAATTAAATGGAAAGAGAAACAGAGAGAGAGACAGAAAGAGAGATAAACACATAGAAAGATAGGTGACTTAATTAGTTTTTAAAGAAATAAAAAAAATATACCTCAGTCATGAAGGTAATTTTCCTACACAAACAACCAGTGTTTAGATATAAGATGAAAATAAATATTACTAAAACTGAAGTAACGCAGGTCAGCAGAATTCCTAGTCGGCTACATATTCGCTACACATAGGGTTGAACGGTACCTGTCTGAAGCAAGTTGCAGAATTTAAATGTCTAGGAAGTATATTCTCGGAGCAAAGAAGAATAGATCAGGAAATAGAAACAAGATGCCAACAAGCCAGTGCATTTATATAGGTTACATTATTAAGACATCCAAACCTAAGAATGAGCGCCAAGAAAAGGCATATTCATACCAACACTGTGCTACCAGTGCTTGAACACTATCAAAAGCTAGCCTGAGAGAAACCGCTGCCCGGCCAGGGCTCATTAGGCTATTCTTTTCAATTTCCAACTGCCAAGGGATTTTACTACCCAGACACCAGGGAAAATCACTAGAAGTCCACGTGAAAAAAATTCAAGCCTTCCCCGGGGCTTGAACCAGGACCCCCAGCACTCGAGGTGGACACCATACCTCGAGACCACTCAGCCTCCGCTGATGATAATGTGTTGTGTGCTAACTTATTCATCCCCAATCCACAGGATAGTTTTTGGAGGACCTGTTCAGGGCTGCCAGATGCAGCCTGGTCGACACTCATGGGGTCTTTGACAATGGCACCTTTCATGTGGATGCCCTGAGGCACTTTCTGCAGCACTGATGGGAAGCATGAATTAGGCATGGCTCCCTATATGGTCATCACACTCTGGCAAGTGTGGCCATGGGCAGCAGACATTTGACTCTTCTGTGTCATAAAGTAGGATCTTTGAGGCAGAGACATCTGAACCACTGGGGATACCTAATTAGTGGACATTTAAACCAAAACAGCCATGCAATAGGAGTCTCGGTTGACAGACATTTGAAATGTTTCTCAGATAGTAGGACTTTCTGGTAACAGACATTTAAACCTGAGTCTGTCTGTCATTTAGTAAGGTAATCGGCCGGTGGACTTCATTCATCTTCTAAATGAGTTTTCCATGTACATTATCACCCATGCAGAGGGGGGTGGGCTGACAATTGTCAGAGGATTTCTGGGCACTGCATCTCTAGGGGCCACTAAGAGATCCTTTACCAGCTGAGTATTTCCATGGCGATCAGGAAACCACCAGTCCCAGCGCAAGATGACTATTTTATTATGGACAGACCAGAACAAGTCATTATCCTCCGCCTCAGAACAGGGCACAACCGATTACGTAACCACATGTACACAAAATTCAAGATAGGTGTATCAGCCATGTGCACCTGTGGAAAGGTGCCCCAGACAGCAGAGCATGTACTCCAGGACTGCACCGAATTTGACACATTAAGGCAAACCTTTTGGCCACAAAGAACAACAGTGGAACGTAAACTCTATGGACCACTGAATGAACTATCAACGACAGTGAAATTTATACAAGAGACAAAACTGCTGATATAGACAACTTATTTCAGGCGAACGAAAGAAGAAGAAGAAGACCAGCTCAGTTTAGGCCGATACAGATCACGATCATAGTACAAGACAAGGATGTGTGGCAGGAGTCTTGAAAAAGTATCCGTAAAACCAGCACAGAACCTGCTGGGGGTTGAGGTGAGGTAAAGGGTATCTCCTTATACACATTACAACAGCTCTGACTTCCTCTCAAGCAGAAAAACTGCCGTGTCACAAAAGGCAATAATGAAAATAGCTCATCATCATCATGCTAGTCGGTCTGAATACTTTAGAGTGAGGTCATCTGACCCACTTGAACTCTGAGTCCCTGATAGGTGTTTCTTTAACTTGGTAAGAAGCTGTCACTTCAACAAATGAATGTTTGGGTCCAAAGCAATTAAAATAATAATACTTCAAAGCAAAGGATTTAGATTTACAACTGGTGCTGAGTGAGCTAATAGTACCATTGGATGCGGCACATGGAAGTAAGAAAGGTATATCATATACCTCCACCTTCTCAGCATGCATAACCTATCAGAAATACATAAAATTAGAGGGAATGCTCTAAGATAGACAGCTATTGTGTAATTTAATGTGATGATAATATCTTTTTTGTTCTTCCTCTTAGCTTTTCACCAGCTGCAAACTCCAGTAGAAAGTTTTGGTTGATTGTCCATTTGTGCACTTTGGTCTTGTTCAAGAACTTGAGTTTTGCGTGCACATCATTTTTAACAGATCTGACTTTTTTAAAAAAATGCAGACTGTTGGTTCCTCACCTCTCAGGCAGATGCACTCCGACTTCAGAGGAAACTTCCCTAATTAGTCGCTTGTACGACATGCTTGTTGGGGTACCATAGGTCTATTATTTTTCAATCAGAATGGGACCATGAAACCCATAAAGAAATGATAACAATATGATAAGCAGACCTGTAAAAATAACGCTGATGCAAGCCTGCCATCCTTCTCTATGTCGGAGTCATCTTCTAAACTTGAACTACTGCTGTCATCATCATCTGCAGAATGTGATGTAATACAGTTGATCAGTTATGATAAAGATTAACACTGACGACACCTCTTCGTCTTCTTCTTAGCATTCACTGACTGTAAATTCCGGTGGAAAGTTCTAGTTGTAAGTCCACTTCTGGACTTTGGTCTTGTTCCAGAACTTGCATTTTGCATGAACATTCGTTTTACAGATCTGGCTTATTTGTATGCAGACTGTTGGTAAGACATCTCTCAGGCAGATGCACTCTAACTTCGAAGAAAACATTCCCATTAGTCAACTTTTTGATCTTTTAAGATAGGGAGGTGGGAACGCACATGGGAATAGCACTGAGAACTAATGTCATAATCTGTTAGTTAGTCGACAGATTATCCCCACTGCACGTCAAACCATTCAGTCCAGAAGTACTCGGATCCCCTCCTTAGTAAATCCTGCAGGGTGTATGGCTAAAGACACCAGTTCGGTGTTCGTTTCTTATTTTTCTTTAGTTTCCTGCATAGTGGTCTTGTCTGGCCATACCCATTTTAACATGTTGTTCTTGCAGTCTGGTCATGGTTGCAGATTTGCAGTCATCACTTGGTTCTCGCAAACATCTTGTATCTCGTAGAGCATTTAGAATTTCAGCATGGGCCAAGGCTTATCCGATCTCCACAGTAGCTTTATCTGCAAACCCATCTGTTTGCTAATAATCTGTTTAAATCATCACTAATTACTGGCTTTATGAGTACTATTAGACTGCAAGGGTTGGGGTATACAGGGAGAATGACAGATAAAAGACAGACAAAAACTGTTTCCCCAAAAGAGTTGAACGGGAGTAACCCACAAGGCAGACCAAGAAGATAGTGGAGAGATAGTATACAGGCAGACCAACAAACACTTGGATTTACCAACTAGAAAGAGAAGGGCAATCACAGAGATGAATGGAGGTGGTTGTTATCTGCAGGGGTTAACTTCAAGGGCTCTGAAGAAGAACAAGAAGAAGAAGAAGACTAATGTGAAGAAATAGTATTGATGACTAATGTGAAATATTAGCTTTAATGGCTCTAACATTTGCAGCTGTTATTTGAAATATTAGTACTGATATCTGTCAAGCATACCCACTTGCACACACAAAAAGTAAGTGGAACACCTCAGGATATGGAATGCAATTTGTTCCAGTGAATAATTCAGTTCCTGAAAATAATTTTCCCAATAAAATTATGTAAATTAATTTATTCCAGCCCTCCAATAAATCATCCTCTTAGTTTTAAAAAGATGTTTTTCATTTTGTTAACAACAAAAAATTTGTGGCACTGCTTTTTTGCTTCTGTAGGAAACAGAAAACAGGGTTACTTCAGACCATGATGCTACACTGCATCATCATCATCAAGTGCCTTGTTGACTAGGTTAAATGCTTTTGCGGCAATGTTAACTTGACCTAATCCATTTCGTCTATCCAGCTAGCAACAAAACGAAAAGTTTTTTTTCTAGTGTCAAATCAGTATTGCTCATTGGAGCGGAAAAATGGAGAACAACTAAGGCAATTACTAATAAACTTCCCTGTGTGGGTTGCGGGGCCCCATTGTGGGGAAAACAAGAATAGACCCACTGCCTACCCAAAAGCCTGTTGTAAGAGTCGACTAATTGGGGAGCTTCCTTTGAAGTCGGAGTGCATCTGCCTGAGAGGCAAGGAACCAACAGTCTGCATTCAAGTGAATCTGATCTGTAAAACTGATGCACATGCAACACTCAGGTTCTGGGGCAGGACTGCAGTTCAGAAGTGGACAAACAACCAGAACTTTCCACCAGAGTGTACAGCTGGTGAACGCGAAGAAGAAGAAGACTAATAAACTGCAAACTTTCATTAACTGGAGAACGGAGGGAATTAAATGGTATGATAGAATCACTAATGTTAAGCTTTGGGAGAGAACTAAACAAGTTCAAGTGGACCAAGAGGTGAAGAAAAGATGCTGGCGTTGGATGGAACATATGCTGAGGAAACCTGAAAACAATATAACTAGAATGTCTTTGCACTGGAACCCACAGTGGCACAGAAATAAAGCAAGACAACAAAAAACACATGGGAATGGGAGCTAGACAGTGAAGTCAAAAAGACTGAGAAGGCCTTGGGAAGAGCTGCAGGTAATAGTAAAGGCTAGAATGACTTGGCATGCGATGGTTGAGGGCCTAGGTTCCATTTAGGAATAGAGGGCAAAAGAAGAAGAAGAATGCTAGTTTACTGCCCCGGAACCCACAAGGAGTGAAAATGTGTTTAAACCAACATTATGTAACAAAAATACAACCGAAATTACCTTTCTTTTTCTCTTCCTTTTTGTCATCCTTCTCATCAACTTCATCCTCATTTTCTTCTTTCTCTCCCTCTTCTTCGTCTTCATCCTCTGCCCCAGAATCCAGAATGTTTCGCAGGCCAGCTTCTTCATCCACTCCCTTTTCATCATACTTTTTGTCCTTGTCATCCTCCTCAAGTCCAGACAAGCTACTTGAACTCCCAGAGTCGGACATGTAGTCCACCTGTAAGAGATTAACAAACAAGCTGATGTGTTGGAAAATGAGCAGGCAGTTAAGAGTGGCTGGTTCTGCACCACTTTTGGTGAGGAACTGATGTATGACAAGCTAGATGTTGCCAGTGAACATGTGGACAAACAAATAGATCATTATGGTCTCGGAAGAATGGCACTGCGGGGAGTTTAACACTCAAGGTAGGGGCGAGATAGGCGAACGCTCAACACTCAAGGGAGTGGGGGTGGGGGGGGGGGGGGGGGGGGAGATGGGTGTACAATCAGAAAGTTACTGGTAACATCAGATTTAGACTCTTTGTTTGCTGATGAAGAAGGGAATGGGGCAGCTATTGAAGAGTCCCAGGTGCTATAATGTTGATTCTTAATTCAACAAGCAAAGCAAAATCCAGATCATGTGCTGACAGTGTAATGATAATATCATAGAAAAGCACTGTGCCCAAATGTATAATTAACGTTGAAAGCACTATCTAGGGACCAAAGTACACCAGTTCAAATCTCTAGACACATGGATAACGTCACATGGAAGATGTAAAATAAAGGACAGGATAGACAAAGAATGCTTTTTATAAATGGTAGCATGTCTTATGTAATAACTTCTCGACAGGGATGGTGAAATGAAAAAAATAAAACAAGGTTGAGAACTGCTGGGCTAGAAAAAAAAGGTAACTAATTAGGGGTGGAGGACAGACTTTTGATTAATCAACACAGAACAGGCATCGTCAGTCATGTTATCTTCTTCTTCTTCTTCGCGTTCACCAGCTGTAAACTCTGGCGGAAGGTTCTGGTTGCTCGTCCACTACTGAACTGCAGTCCTGCTTCAGAACCTGAGTGTTGCGTGTGCATCAGTTTTACAGATCTCATTCTCTTGAATACAGACTGTTGGTTCCTTGCCTCTCCGGCAGATGCACTCCGACTTCAAAGGAAGCTCCCCAATTAGTCGACTCTTACGACATGCTTTTGGGGAGGCAGTGGGTCTATTCTTGTTTTCCCCACAATGGGGCCCCGGAACCCACACGGGGGAGTCATGTTATGTTTGTGGAGCACCTGTGGATCTGTCCGGACTGCTGTGTTGATCATCCTCCCCAATCACTAATTAGGAGTGTTTCCTTCAGATTGCACCTGCCTGACAGACAAGGAACCAACAGGCTGCACACAAAACATGCCAGATCAGTAAAACAGATGCACATGCAAAACACAAGCTCTGGAAAAAAGACCAAAGTCCACAAGGGGACAAACAACCAAAGCTTTCTGCAGGAGTTTATAAATTAATTCCTTTAAAGATATTTCTGTTTGCAAATAATATTAGATACTGTATAAATTTCACCATGCTCTCAAAATTATGTTAAAAAAAGTATAACACTAGTTTAACTTTCTGGGTTCCAGATCAGATTATACTTAATCCAATGATATCCCAAGAATTTATTATTTTAACTAATAAATGTGAGTCTGAAGTAGACCAAATAATAACACTATGAAAAAGAAGGATATGAAGCAATAACTGAGGCAGAGTAATCACTGGATGTGGCACATAAGGTTAACTCTTAGAGTCCCAGAGGGTTTAGCATCACAGGCACAAGGGGTAGTCAAGAGAGACGTAAAATCGACGCATTATGTGTTCATTGGGCTTCTAGGCAGTAACCTATGAACGTATGATGCGTTCCTTGGGACTCAAAGAGTTAAGATTAGTATATCATGTGAGAGAGCTCAACAAATGTAGGGTGAGTTACGTGTGACTGAATGAGTTAATAAACCTTACCTCTCTGTCATCGTAATCTCCGTCATCACTCTCTTCTACAGCTTCGTCATCTGAGTTTTTCTTAGAATTTTTCACGGCCTTCTTTACGACTTTCTTTGGTTTCTTTTTTGCTGCACCGTCTGAAATAAGTGAATCACGCGTTGTCTTTTTAGGTACATTTTGAAATGTTTGATTCTCACATGAGGGCACAAAGTTTTTTGACCCCATGGGGTGCGTGTGGGCACAAGGAAGAAGAAAGATCCACTGCCCTACAACCCTTTCACCCCGGAAATGCTAAAAACAATGGGCCATGAACCCGTGAATATTTCCAGAAAAAATCCTTCGAAACATTAAAACAACTACTTTACAAAAGTCACTAATACATTTATCTACATCTGTAATAGTTTTTTGAAATATATAAAGATATATAAAAGGGCGCGGCGTCCGTGGCTAAGGCGTTGCGAGTCTGACTCGTAATCCTACGTATCGCGATCGAAACCCACTGCAGGCTGCGTGGATTTTATCGTGGTATGGGACGTCGCAGGTCGACCCAGCCTCAAATGGGTACCAGGATGGCTGTCCTGGGAAAGTAAAGACGGCTGGCGTAATGCTGACCACATTACCCACCGAGTGCCGATTGGTCTGTAAAAATATGGGACGCTCTGCCCATATGCCCGATGAGCCGAAAGGCGTGAAAAGGGATCTTTACTTCTTCTTCATGACGTCTATGCCGTGTGGCGTCGGTTGTCTTGTTTA